ACCAAGAGTAATACTTTTAAAAGGTCAGGTGGCACAGTGCAGCACTGTCATTTTATGACCATCTAATTAATTAATTTATCTTGTGTCAGTAGATGGAGATTGACTGTGTAAGTTCTCTGCTGTAATGATGTTCAGTGAGTTGAAAATGAAGATCTTAGGGGATAAAAGTAGTGGTCTGATGGTATTGATTAACTATCTTGTTTGCTTCTTTGTTCAGATTTTATTAACCTCTTGGGCAGAATGCTACCCCAGTATTATATCCATGCTATTTTTCACCTGGGATCCAGGCTTTTAAAATGACAGCTTTATTTAAAATACAGATGGACTCATAATTGTTTTAAGTCTTAGTCAAAGAAATCTCTGATAAATTAGAACAGACAAAATAACAAAACCTAAAGCATTCTTCATATTACACTCATCTCAGGAACAGCTTAATATTTTATGACAGTTGTGGCAACCAAGTAGGGAAAAGGAAATATATCAACATCAATGCCTACCTAAGACTTCTTGGACAGACGGCATTTTTATTTGTAGACATGTACAAGCACAGGAAGGTGCACAACTTCTGAGGGCTAAACATAAAAAAATATCTGCTGCATGATCCCTGTAACTGCTTTTACTATAACAAATTGCGTTTACTTGGAATGTCAGTTGGTAATTTCACTTTGTTGTGTAAAGTGGAAACATTATACTTCTTTCTCCCTTCCTTACATCCTATATCCTACATGATTCTGTCAGTGTTTCACTTTTGCATTTTATATTTCCTTGTTTTCCTATAATATTGACTTTTAATCACCATTCCAGAACATTTCCCAATAACCAAATGATTTTGTGTTTATTTGTAATCATAAAAAGTCAGCTTCTGCTTCATGTAGGGATAATTCATAAATTCAGAATTCTAGACATCATTGAAATAAACAGGAAAGTTTAGTCACATGGACATATTTGTTGCAATTATGGGCCATGTTCTGAGCATCAAGCCTATGTCAGAAATTCTTTGCATTGAAAACTTCCTTGAACATAATTATTTCAATTGAATTGGAGCCAATTTATATATCATGAATTTCTACTTATATACACTAATATAAAGTCCAAGAATGTTGGGATAACTGGAGAAACTCATTGCATTAAACCTCATTTATTTCAGAAAGTTTGGGTGGTTTTGTCTAAATTCTACATAGTAAAAAAATGAAAGTAGTGTTTAAAGTCTTTTTCAGGCATGACTAAATAAGGAAAATGTAAATCTTAAATTTATCTTTATTTTACTTTAAATCTTTTAAAATGACATACCAAATGATATCTCCATGCTAAATGCTAATAACTTTTCCAGTTCTCTGGGGAAAAAGTTATGTGTTCTTTGCAGCACTTTCATTCAACTTAAATATGAAACTTATTTTTATTTTTGGCCAGCAGGGCTAGGTAAGTTTTGAAAATAAAATTTAAAAATTATGTGCTTTAATGAATACTAAAGAAATGCTTATCTACACCAAAGTATACAAATATGCAATAAGATTGTGTGGTTTTTCTACCACTGGAAAATTAAATAATAACATCTTGTTCTGCAAAGATCATGAAAGTTGTAATTATAAATACTTGACATATCAGTTAATGGTACATGTTTAAGTATAAAATCACTGAAGTTAATTTTTTGGGGGAAAAGGTACGAAAGAACAATGCATTTTTTTAAAAAAAAAATACAGAATTCTGTTTAAAAGAAACAGAAAAGATAAACATCTATCCTGAAATTTGGGTGGATCCAATATTAATTTGTACACTGTAGTCCTAAATGAGATTTTGAAATTTTCATAGTGAAAACAAAACTGAATAAGAACTAATGACAAAACATTTCCAGGGTATGAACGGAATCCTTAAATTACACAGATACTATGGAATTATTCAGCAGTGAAAGGAATGAAATAAATGTTAAAAAATGATCTAACACAATACAAAGATGTATTTGAATGAATCAAACTTTGCTATTTAATTTACATATGGAGGGCTTATTAGGATGATGAATGACACTGCTGAAGAACAAAACATATTTCTGAAACAAAAGAACATCTCTGTAGCCTAATAACATTTTATGCCACCACTTATATTTATCAGAAGTAGATGCTATTTATCGCTATGATTATTTAAAAATCATTTTTATTGTTCTTTGTTCTTCCCTCTTCTGGGAATTTTAATTCAGAGTTTTGACACCTGCTTATTAACTTCCTTGAAATATGAAATACAAAGGCATCTGCTGTGTAAAGAATTCTAACCAGCATGTTTATATTACTGGCAGCTGTACACAAATTAGTTCAGTTTGGATTTATTTTTCTTCAGAATAGAAAGCATCTCAGGCAGGGTTGCCTCAGCTTACATATATTTTATGATGATAACATTCTAAAAAATTGCCCAAGATTCAGAGCAGGTGCATCTACAAGTGATTTGCAAAATCTGCACGATGGCTAACACATTGTTGTGATTGAAGCCCTACCCTGCACACAAAAAGGGTGGGGCTTAAATTTTGATGATTACCATCTTGCAGATTTTAATAGTCTCCATGGAAAGCCCTGATTCAGGACTAGAATTATGAATTAATAAGAATTATTCTTATGCAAGTTCACTTGTTATTTTACAGAATGTCAAAAATTATTTAATTGTCATATCAATCTGCCTACACAGATAATCAAACTAAGCAATTTCAATAACTTGAGCAGTGCATTTTATGTTCACATTATATTGCCACATTTGTTCCATAATGTCTCCTTTAGTTATTGACATTTCAATTCCCATATTCTAGGATACTTGCCCACAAAGCTTTTTTTTGGCACGACCCATACAATGTAGTCTGCACTACTATTACTATTAATCTTCTCATCACTCCTTATCACCCATTCCCTCCCACTGTATGACTGTAACTTTGTTGCTTGTATCCTTACAATCTATATTGACTGTTTCCTAGTATGATTTGATTGCTTATTGTACCCCATGACTATCATTAAGTGTTGTACCTTATGATTCTTGACTCTTGACAAATGTATCTTTTCTTTTATGTAAACTGAGAGTATTTGCACCAAGACAAATTCCTTGTGTGTCCAGCCACGCTTGGCCAATAAAGAATTCTATTCTATTCTATTCTATTCTATTCTATTCTATTCTATTCTATTCTATTCTATTCTATTCTACTCTACTCTACTCTACTCTACTCTACTCTACTCTACTCTACTCTACTCTACTTGTTATTTATTTTCTATTATCCTATCTGGGTGTACGTATATATAAGGATAAAATACATTAATGAATGTTTGAAGGTTTTAAACAGATGAAACACATGAAAAAAGTTATGCAATTATATTGTTATTATTATTGTAATCCTACCCAGATACTTATTCATAAGTAAGACCTATTTAATTTAATTTAATATGTCTGCTTATTGGTAAATGTGCATCAATTCACACAGAGACACGTACAGTATGTGTTGTTCTAAGCAGAGCGAATCTGGATCTGGTGTTTTTCCATGTAATTTGATTTTGTATGGTTCAGGAACATGAAATGGGAAGAAGGAATTTCAATACTTTTTGCTTATAAAAAGAAGCATACTACTGATAAACAACAAGATGACTTGAAGTGAACTTTTGCCCCTGAAGGAACTTCCTTGTCATGATACATTGCGGTGACAGCTTTTATTTTTAGTATGTAGAGATCTTATAATAGGAAGGGAAAATATTTGCATCTGGCATTTTCTTTCCATGAAGCCGTAATATCTCCTTTGAGATTTCAAACAGTTTAATTTAACTAAGAAGCAGAACCTTCATTATGATAAATGTTTTAATTAATTTTTATCAGGACAAAACTAGAGCAATAAATATGTAGGCTTTGTGGACAGTATTTTTTTTCCAGCAAAAAATAAAATAAAATAAAATAATCTGCTTTCTGGAAAACTTGATTCTTTCCCCCAGTCTTGAATTAGAGCAAGGCTGGACAACTATGACCCCTTTACTACCTGTGGATTTCAACACCCCCCCCCCCAAATTCCTGGCTGGCTCAGGAATTCTGGGGGTTGAAGTCCACAGTTCATTAAGGGGCCATATTTGCCCACCCCGGGTTAGAATATATGGAGGGTCCAGTGTGTTTCATTTAGGACTTTTCCCCACTTGTCAGATTTTGTTAATGCATGTTGTAAATTGAAACCAAAATGGAAATATGGCTGACTACACCAAATCATAGGAGTTAAAAAAATCCTTCAATTTTCTTACAATGTGGAGTCCTTGGTGCATTTTGAGTTATACTTTTACAATGCAAGTACAAACATTTGGGAATTCTTTTTTTTGGGGTTATATTGATCTCATTCTTAAATTATAAAGAGTATATTTTATATTTTTTTAAAACATTGTTTTTTTCCAAAAACATTGTTTTTTTTTCAAGATTGGATATTTTAATATTATTTGATAGTTCAGTTATACAACGGAGATGGTAATCTTCATGCTGTTTTAGTTTCATCTGCAGTTGAATTGTTGCTTTCATTTTAAGTGCAGCCAGTATCAGTTAAGATACTGTTTTGGCAGACTGTGTCAGTACATGTAAGTGTTATTTAACTTTAAACATCTCCTATATAATATCCATGAGACTAAATTATATGGTAGTCATTTAATTTCAATGACTGTTATAGCAAACAAGTCCCCAATGCATTATGGCCAACCTGTGGTAGGGCACTTTTAATTTAAATGCTCTTGGGCAGAGAGCATATCATAATATTCCTGATGTTATATTTGATGAAAAAAGCAGCAGTTAAAATTTTTCCTTACCTCTTACCATTTTTGAAAAGAGGCATATGTAATAATTGTATATTCATCTTCTCAGATATTCATCTTCTCTGTTCTATTTTAAACATACACGAATACAAGCCTTCTGTCAACATGTATGCAGCGCTGGTGGATTGCTTCTGGAAATCATGACATTTAAGAAAAATAGATATAATTCTAACTTTATATCTATTTCCTCTTTGTTTACAGAACAGTGGAGTAGATGACAATGACTGTGTGGAAGAAATTTTACGGGTAGGACTAAAATGAATTCTTTAGTTATTTCATAATTTAGGATGTGTCTTTTTTTTTATGCTAGTTAGAAAAAATGTTTTAGTTTAGTTAAATAAATCTAAATTGCACTTTAATCTAATTCTGCCTAATTTACTGTTTGAAAATTAACATGTGAAGCGTTCTCAGTATTGTGTGATTAAGTTCTCCAGTCAGGTGTTTCATACACAGATATATATCTTTGCCTAAGCTGATGAGTGAAATTACTGAAACTGTTGTACAAAAATAGTATCAGATTTCCAAAGGAATATAAAGCATAACAACTTTATGCCCTTTATAAAAATTGGAAATTGACATACAAACAATATGAAATGAATGAAAGAAATGAAAAACTATGCGAAATTAAGACATTTGCCCATTTCTAATGCCTGTTCAATTAGTTTAATTAGTTACATTTAATCATTAATTTTCATTCATTAAAGTCATTTCACTTACATAATTTACAAATAAAGAAGTGATCATTTGAACTACCAAAATTTCTCCATACTAATTTATTTCTTATTAATTAGAGAGATAATAGATCTTGTTATTACATACCTCCAAACTTATCCAAAATGGCAGACTCTTGAATGGAGCAGATTTTCTGTTCTTTAAATAAAGTTATTGCATAACTTCCTGTCTGGTGGGTCATTTACACCTTCATTAGCAATATTAGCATGATAGTGGGTGTGGACTAAGCGGGAGGTTTTGTGTTCCTAAAAAAAGGTGTTTGACTTAAATAGCAATAGAACATCAACTAATATACCACTCCACAGTGTTTTATAGCGTGAAGAATTTGGGAAAATCTGCTATTTTCAAATTACATTAAAATTAAAATTAAAATGAATACATCTCCCTCTCAAGATGATATGTACGGCTAGTTGAACCACAACATGGACAACGTTATGTACTTAAATAGAGAGTTTTCAATAAAATTAGTGCAGTTTATCTTTGCATTCATCTACAGCTTATCCCTAAACTGAAAATGGACTACTTATATAATGCACAATTTATGTATATACACAAACAGTCTGTGAAAAAGAAAACCACAGATAAAAACACTATATATTTTTAAAAGTCACATAAGCTCAGAAATGGAATGATAAAAAAATGTAGCAAAAGGAAAAACTTATAAAAATAGAACTTGACAGATTGTTTCTTCATTAATGATAAATTAATTCCAACTACCAAAAACCTTTATCAGTGTAAAAAAAAAGTTCAATTCACACAATTCAAAGGGAGCAATACAATTTTTCTTCCTTTATTTTATTCTATTTTACTCCCCAAAATTCCAATTGAATAAATATTCAAATATTCTGGATATGTCACTTTTATTTCAGAAAATTATAATCTTATAAACTATAAATAAATCCATCACAAGACTGAGAAAATTACATATATTCCACCCAAGGGAAGATGTAGATGAACTGAAGTTTTTTGCTAGTGTCTGAAATGATTGATAAGTTCAAATAAGAGTTCTCTGACTTTTCAAAAGAAATACCAAGGAGGTTTAGTGCTGACTTCTAGAACAAGTAAATAATATTTTAAAAACATAATCAATTATATCTCAACTCAAAAGTAAGTACATCTAAACCTAACAATGTTACAATGAAAATGAATTCTGATATGGAGCAATGCATGTAAAATTCTTAGCTGCTTATGGGAAAGAAATAGAAAACTAACACTGGCAACTTTGTATAAAGAGAACCAATATAAAATGTTTTACAGGTGGCATCTTCCTCCAACTAGATTGGCCAAAATTAGTAAAAGTATATCACATTGTTGAAAATGTAACATAGAGATAGGGACCTATTATCATATGTGGTGGAAAGGTATAAAAGCAAAAAAATACTAGTGGAAAATAAAGGTTTGGATAGAAGAGATGGTTAACCAGAAAGTAGAGTTCATACCAGAAACACTCTTACTAGGAATTATTAATGAGAAATACGGTAAGGGAACAATATATTTAATGATACATATAATAATAGCTGCGAGTAGTGTATGTCTAAAACTGGAAGAATGAAGATACCCCTACAGAAAGTGAAATAATAAGGAAAATATTAGTCTGTGCAGAGATGGACAGACTAATTTTAGAAATCAAAGATAAGGGTGAGACAGAGTATTATGAAGTCTGGAGTAAAATGTATCAATGACTAGAGTCAAGGAAAAAGAAAGAAAGGGTTGACGCTTTATAGGAATGAAAGTTAAAGTTTTTAAACCAAAGAGAATGGAATATAATGGACAAATACGAGATGATACGAATGCATGAGTATAAAAGATGGTTGGAAATATATATACCAAAGCCCGGAATGTCACATCACAGCCACCCGCTCAGGATATCACATCACAGAACTCAGGAGGTTACACTACAAAACCTCAGGATGTTGCAATACAGCCAACGACCCAGGAGATTAGAAGCACAAGACCCAGGATGTCAAAACAATAGAACTCAGAAGGTCATCACACAGCCCATTACCCAGCTTATTACAACACAGGAGGCTGATAGACACACAGACAATACCTCAGCCACACATGTTCTTACGAAAAAGCCAGCCAATCTGCAAACATCAACTCCATCAACCAATCAAGAAATGACAACACAGCCAACCTCCCCACCAGTATATATAGGGAGACAGCAGCTCCAATCACACTTTGCTCGCACAAGCACGAAGCCGAAAGCACCAGCCTGAAGATGGTGAATATCGCCAAGATACTCTCAATCTTACACAGGAAAAGACCCGAACATGCCAAGACCTGCATACATGTATCCGTGAAAATCTACGAAAATATGTATGTATGTATGTATGTATGTATGTATGTATGTATGTATGTATGT